ATATTACATAATATATTATATTTATACCCTTTATAATCATATAAACATTTAGCACTATTAGCTAATAGACTAATAAATTATTTCAACTTATCATAAAACTCTAAACAATGCGGTAATTCATTAAAAAAATATTTTTTCAAAATATTTAATAAATAAATCATTACATTATCACTAATATGTATTGAAATTGCAATCTATTTTAATTTTATCATAACATATTGCATAAAATATATACATGTATAATCATTATTTTATAAATTTCTAGTAACAAAATTAATTATGCGTATTTAAAAATGTTGTAAAATTTTTTTACTAACCACCATGAACAAATTAATTACTATTTGCTTATTAACTACACTAGTGTTGGCAAATCGGGTTCCCACGGGGTGTCGACTCTGTAAGCCCGCGTTGACTCCATTGGTTAATACGTGTTTTGAGAAAACATGGAAACCTGCGACAAAATGTATGACTTCCGCATACCGGCGCTGGGATATACCGCTCAATGGGAAGGCCTTATGGAGCGCACCACTGGCCACACCTAATTCGCGGGAAAGGTGTTGCGCCAGTTGGGAGTCCTATGATTGCTATAAGCATGCACCATTGGTATTGTTATTTATTTTAAATTTATGTACCTAGTTAGTTTTTGAATTATTATGTATTTTGCAGTTTAAATGCAATTTACACGAACGCATTGACGTGAGAATATATCTGAGCAAGATCATCCGGTGGCAATCTTACACCGATTGCCGTAAGTTTGGGTACCGTTCCCGTAGGTGTACCCGACACAATTGAGTGTTTTATAAATTTAAGACATTTATTTGATTATGATAAATACAAATATAATTCTAGTAGTATATAAGAATTGAAAATTATATATTAAAATTATATAAACAGTAGATTTTAATGTTGCACACTTTAATTGCAAAAATATAAAAATATTATACTGGTAAAAATGTTGCATAATAATATTTTTAAAATATAAGTGGATACACTAGATAAATATTGTGGTACGCTATTTTAAGTGCGTGCCTGAGTATAAGTTCGTATATCAATGTCAAATTTATTATTTTAATTACCTGATTAAAAAATACCTAAACCTTTACACAAAAACTAAGTTTTAAAATGGTAATCACAAAATATTTAATTATCAAATTTTAAATTTATAAATGTTTATTTTATTTATCATATTTGACCATTTATTGAAAATTACTTAATGAAGTTTTTAATTTGTACAAATTAATTTAAAAAATATCTTTATGACATTTAATATGACTTAAGACAATAGCTTAATACTGTAATATCTTCCACATGTAATATTTAGATAAAGATTATATCAGTTTATTGATTAAAAATATTTTATGCTACAATATAGCATTGATAATATGTAATAAACATTCAATATATATTTTAAAATATATTACTATAAATAAAATAAATTTTTTATAACATCAGTTTTAAATTTTAAATTAATTTAAATTTTATGCATTAAAAGTATTTATTTTATAAAAATACAAGCTATTATAGTTTTAATTAATATTAATACGACATAAATTATTGATAATAGTTACTTAATTATGAAAGTATTTCAATATAAAACAAGGTCATTGTGAAACCCTGTGTCCTTGTGCCTTTACATGTAAAATTTTATATAAATATGGCTAGTTCATTTTAAAAACTAAACATCTGTCTTATAATGTAAAATAAAATAGTAAAATATGAATGTTATTACATTATTTATTCTATCTTTGTTTATAAATATAAACATAATATTTGCTGCTAACCCCGATGAAATACACAACCTCCCTGGCCTCCCGGAGAAAGTAAAATTCCGACAATTCTCAGGCTATTTAAACGCTACGAAAGGTCGACACCATTTCTACTGGTTCATCGAGAGTGAGCAAGATCCTGATAACGCACCGGTAGTTTTATGGCTAAATGGTGGTCCCTTAGCCAGTTCATTATTGGGACTGTTCACCGAAAATGGGCCTTATCGGGTGGACAGTAATGGCATAAAATTGACCATGAACCAATACTCGTGGAATAAGGTGGCCAACATGCTATACATGGAGACACCGGTAGGTGTGGGTCATAGTTACGATGAAAATGTCCCTGAGCCACATAGCGATAATAATTCTACAATGATGGATAACTATTTTGCCCTGGAGAGTTTTTTAGACAAATACCCACACCTTAAGAAAAATGCATTTTATATAACGGGTGAGAGTTATGGTGGGGTTTACGTCCCGATGTTAGCCAATGAGGTATTTGCGCGAAATTCAAGTATTAATTTAAAAGGTATTATTTTTTTGTTATATTTTTATCAGGGTTAGTTGAGAATCTCAACTTGAGAAATTTATTTATTAAAACTAACTGATAATTTCAGGAATGGCTATTGGGAATGGCTGTTTTGATTATAATAAAGCAATAATGCAACAGCCTACAATATCACAGTATGATTTTGCCCTTGGTATGGTTTAATAAGTCCGCATTTCTATCAACAAAAAATTGAAAGTTGCTGTGGTATTGACCAGGATAAGAAGTTTAAATGCGACTTTGTAAATCCAATCAATAAAACGTAATTAATTATAAACTATTTATTATAAATTAATCTAAAATATTAATAATAATAGTATTATAAAGTTTTAATTTGAAAATTATTTTAAATACTAACAATCTATTATACATAATAAATCAAATATTTTTTAGAAAATGTGACTCGGTTAAAATTGAGCATGTGGCAATAATTAACGCGTACAACATCTACGACAATTGCCCACTTGAAATGGACCCATATAATATATCGCAAGCGTACAACACTAATAATAAATTATTTAAGCAAGCACAAAATGTCAAACAACAGGTCAACTGTCCCCACTCAGGCCACATGAACTACATGAATCGGGCGGACGTACGGCAGGCCCTGCACGTACGTAGTGGCGCACCCAAGTGGACATCATATAAGGGTCCGCAGGGTTACAAAATTGATGATCGCAATGGGAGTCAGACTTTCGTAGACTTAATAGAAAAGTACAGAATCGCGAAAATACTCGTATATAACGGAGACTTCGATAGTGTTTGCGATTTCATAACCGATGGCCGGTTTGTCGAGGGACTGGGATATAAAACAACTGATGAATACAGGTATGTCTTATATAGGCAGTGATGTAGTTAAGTAGCTAGCCTAATTAAATTAAATATAAATTTTTTATAATTAAAACTATTATGTAAGGCAACCATAATTTTAGGTATTTATAGGTCAATAAAATATAATTTAATTTTTAGTTTTAAAAATATAAAATAATTTATTTACTATACTTACATAAAATAATTTTGTTATTTAGACCTTGGACAGTTGATGGCAAACCAGATGGTGTTGAGGGCGGTTTTGTACAGCATTATGAGAAAGGTATCAGTTTTTTGACAGTCAGAGGGTCGGGTCATATGGTGCCCACCGATCGGCCAGAGGCCGCCCTACAGATAATACAGGCTTTGATTGGTTACGCAAAGTTGTAAACATATTAACAGTTTATTAAATTGAAATAAAATTAAAATTAATTTTTTTCATTATAATTAATGATAACTAAAATGTCTATAACAATATTACTAATTTAGTTTAAAAATATTAATAGTAATAAATTTATCAATTTATTTATACATTAGTATTAAAATAGTAAACGTTTCTATTGTATGGTATACAGGACTTAAATCAGATAAATATACTTTACCCTGTTGCGTTGCATTAACGTTACACTAACAAGTACAGTATAATACATCCAGTACACTGTAAATGTGTTTATAGGTACTATGTGATATTTTAGATGTAAAAATTAGCAGTGTACTATTTTTGTAAGAGTTTTAAAATCTTGATAATATTAATAATTTAAAATAAATCATTACTTAATTCGATTAATAATCAAAATTTAAATAAATTTTACAAAATATTTAATAGTAATTAAGTTAAATATTAATTAAATTTATAAAATTAAAAACATAGTTACCTAGAATAGTCAGTCAATGTTCTAGATAACAATAAACCATACTTAGAATGATCAAGGGCATAGAGATATGAGATAAATATTATATTATAAACTTGTACTTTATAAATACTTTTAAAATTGTATATAAACATCAACATTTTTATAAATAATTAAAAACATTTTGTTATTATATTAAACAAAACTACTATTAAAATGAATAGTTTAATAATATTTATTTTACCCACTTTAATAAATATTGGTTGGGCATTTAACGCTAACCCTGATGAGATATTCAATCTACCCGGGCTACCTGAGCCAGTCAAATTTCGGCAATACTCTGGTTATTTAAACGCTACGAAAGGTAGGCATCATTTTTACTGGTATTTCGAGGCTGAGATAGATCCTGAGACAGCACCGGTAGTCCTATGGCTAAATGGTGGGCCAATGTGTAGTTCCATATTAGGTATGCTCACCGAGAATGGACCATATACGGTGGACAGTAATGGCACAAAATTGATCATGAACAAATACTCGTGGAATAAAGTGGTCAATATTATATACATGGAATCCCCGGCCGGAGTGGGATTTAGTTACGATGAAAATGATCCTGAGCCACTAAATGATAATAATGCTACAGCTGTGGCTAATTATTTTGCCCTGGAGAGTTTTTTCGACAGATACCCACACCTTAAGAAAAATGCATTTTATATAACGGGTGAGAGTTATGGTGGCGTTTATGTCCCGATGTTAGCCAATGAGATATTTGCGCAAAAATCAAGTATAAATCTGCAAGGTAATTTTATAAATATAATAATTGAAAAATATATTTATATAAAATTAATTATTACAGGAATTGCTATTGGAAATGGAAAATATGATTTTAACCAATATGATTATACTGACCAACCTACCTTATCGGAATATGAGTTTGCCCTTGGTCATGGCTTAATAAGTCCGCATTTCTATCAGAAAAAAATTGCAAGCTGTTGCAGTATTGACCAGGATAACATGTGGAAATGCGACTTTCTAAACCCTGTTAATAAAACGTTAGTATAAATGATCAATTTTAGATTACTAATATGATTTATGTTACTGAAATTTTATATTACTTTTATTTATACTATATTTTAATGCATAGAAAATGTGACTCGGTCAAAAAGGAGCCAGTAGATGTTATCAACCGTTATAACCTGTACGACAATTGTCCACTAGAAATTGTCCCTGTTAATAGTTCCGAATTATTTGGATTATATAACCCATACGACCCGAGCAATAATTTAATGAAGCTAGCACAAAACATAGACAAACCCGCCTACTGTCCCCACTCGGGTCACAAAGAGTACATGAATCGTGTGGACGTACGTAAAGCACTGCACGTACGCAATGATGCGCCCAAATGGTGGGACTTTAAGGGCAATACTAACTATACTATTGATATGCGGAACGGGAGCCAGACTTTCGTAGACTTAATAGAAAAGTACAGAATCGCGAAAATACTCGTATATAACGGAGACTTCGATAGTATTTGCGATTTTGTGACCAACGCCCGGTTTGTCGAGGGACTGGGCTATAAATATATCGAGGATTACAGGTATGTCACTGTTTTTTTTAAATGGACAGGTAGTCTAGTAATAAGTATAAACATACTGTAGGTAATGAACTTTGAATATAAAGTTTCCAAAAATTATTATTTGTTAAAACATGTTCATTTTAAATAAGTATAATACACATGATACATTAAATTCAAATTATTAAAAATTAATATAAAGTTTTATATGATAGACCCTGGACAGTTGATGGCAAGCCAGATGGTGTTGGGGGTGGTTTTGTACAGCATTATGAGAAAGGTCTCAGTTTTTTGACGGTCAGAGGGTCGGGTCATATGGTGCCGACCGATAAGCCCGAGGCCGCCCTACAGATATTAAAGGCTTTGGTTGGTTACGCAAAGTTGTAATCATTTTTGCATTAAAATGATTTGATTTTAATAAATATTTTTTCCTCAAAATTATAAATACTTTATATTATTAAAAATGAATGGATTTGATATATTAACATACAATTGTTAGGATGATATACTACTTTGTAACATAATATTTGAAATGATTAATAAAGTTGTTAATAATAAAAATTTATAAAATATACAATCACAAATATAAATCTTATAATTAATAATAAATACTTATGCTGTTATTATAAAAAATTATACTATGGTTAATAAATAATTATAACTTTAATACTATTATTTGAAATAGTTAAATATAATTATTTTTGCATTAAAATTACTTTAGTATTTATTATATATAATATAATAAAATCATTTTTAAATAAAATATTTAATTAGCACTATACAATACTTTTAGATGTTATTTCAATTACTTGTTATAATTATGACAGAAAAAATTACTGAAAGTTAATTGGAAAAGGTAATTATTTAAACTGTATTAAAAAGGGAGTACCAGGAGTCTCCTAAATTCATGTCAGGTATCGTACCTCTAGAGTACCACCATTAAAAAAGTATTGTAGATACTGTTGATTATTAGATAGAAATTGTAATAATAATAATAATAATAATATTAATTATTTGGGATTTATATTAATAATACGAGAGAATACATTAATTTTAATTATTATTTCTAAAATATGAAATTATTTTAGGACTTGAATCAGATAGCAAGATATTATTATTCACTACACTATAACTTACATTGTTTATATTGGTACTACATCATATTTGTGGTAGATTAAGTAATTTAATATAAATTAGAAAAATGAATATGTTCATTCTGTATTTTAATTTAATATAATAATTATTTTAAACAATTATATTTTCAAAAATATAGCTAAATTATTTAGAATTAAAATAATATAAAATGATATTTATATAAATAAAATAGTTTGTAAATTTAATAAATTAGCTAAAATAGTTTGTAAAATTTGAAAAATATCATTGAAGTGTACTTGATAAAAATAAACGTTACTATGAATCATCAAGGGCATATAGAGATAATATGAAATACTTGTATAGAGAATAAAAAGTATAAATATGTAGACATTAATTTTAACAAGAACATTAATACTGAATTTAATTAAAACCAAAACTAATTTCATATTAAACAATGAATACACTACTGTTATTTTATATTTTACCTATCACAATTTATATTAATTGTGTATATACGGCTAACTCAGATGAAATACAAAACCTACCTGGCCTACCTGAACCTGTAAAATTTCGACAATACTCCGGCTATTTAAATGCAACCAAAGGTCGACATCATTTTTATTGGTACTTCGAAAGTGAGCAAGATCCTCAAAACGCACCGGTAGTCCTATGGCTAAATGGTGGTCCTATGTGTAGTTCCCTATTAGGAATGTTCACTGAGCATGGACCATATACAGTGGACAGCAAAGGCATAAAATTGACCATGAACAAATACTCGTGGAATAAAGTGGTCAATATTATATACATGGAATCGCCTGCCGGTGCGGGATTTAGTTACGATGAAAATTATCCTGAACCACTAAATGATAACAATACTACAGCTGTGGCTAACTATTTTGCCCTGGAGAGTTTTTTCGACAAATACCCACACCTTAAGAAAAATGCATTTTATATAACCGGTGAGAGTTATGGTGGCGTTTATGTCCCGATGTTAGCCAATGAGATATTTACACGAAAATCAAGCATAAATCTGCAAGGTACTTTATTTTAATGTTAATTATATTTATCATTGAGTTCCATGTATTACAAATTATTACAAATAGTAATACTTATAACATTACTAAATGTGAATGCTACCTATTTTTGAAACTTACTGATATTTATTATCATATTAAAATTAAGTACATTTTTAAAAATAGGCATTGCTATTGGTAACGGACTATTTGATTGGTCTGCAGCTGACGTTTTACAAGTGCCCACACTGTCGCAATATGACTTTGCTCTTGGTCATGGATTAATAAGCCACGGTTTTTACCAACAAAAAATTAGTAGCTGCTGTAGTATTGACCAGGATAACAAGTGGAAATGTGACTTTCTTAACCCGGTTAATAAAACGTAAATTAAGTTTATTTTATTATTATTTATTGAAAATGATTACTAATTATTATTTAATTATTAAAATGACTTGCTAATTAATTATACAAAACATGTAAACTTTCTAATATTTATTCTGGGTAAATTAACATGACAAATTAATTTATTATGTTTACGTTCATAGAAAATGTGACTCGGTCAAAAAGGAACCAGTATCCATAATGAATCTATATAATATATACTCCGACTGCCACCTGGATATGGAGCCGGTTAATGGGTCTCAATATGATCCATTTTATAACCCAAACACCACTAATCACAAATTATTGAAGCAAGCACAAAATACAAACCAACCCGATTACTGTCCCCACTCGGGCCACAAGGAGTACCTGAACCGGGCGGACGTACGTCAGGCACTGCACGTACGCAATGATGCGCCCAAACAATGGTCGGCCTATAAGGGCGAAAAGGGTTACACAAAAGTCTTACGGAATGGGAGCCAGACTTTCGTAGACTTAATAGAAAAGTACAGAATCGGGAAAATACTCGTATATAACGGAGACTTCGATAGTATTTGTGATTTTATAACCGACGCCCGGTTTGTGGAGGGACTGGGATATAGGTATACCGAAGAGTACAGGTATGTTGTATATCTATGCAATGGTGTATTGTAATTACTATATTGTAGTATGTCACTAGAAAGTTTGCCCATTATATATAATAACTAAATAAATTTGTATTATTGTATATACTGGATAAATGTCCAATAAACTTTTATAAAGTTTGTAGGCTATTGTTAATTAATGTTGCTACATTAATGGCATATGTGTAATAATTTTATGTTATTTATGTTTAATACGATAGACCCTGGACAGTTGATGGCAAACCGGATGGGGTGGAGGGAGGTTTTGTGCAGCATTATGAGCGAGGTCTCAGTTATTTGACAGTCAGGGGCGCCGGACATGCCGTTCCCACCTATAAACCTGAGGCCGCCCTACAGATACTGAAAGCATTGCTCGGATATACAAAACTGTAATAATTTAAATACAAAATACAAATAAAATTATGCTTCAAAAGTTGTACACTATGTAATAATTCTATTTAAAAAATTTAATATTAATTAATCTTAATTAATTAATGAAAACAATTTTTAAAAAATAAATTATCATCATAAAATATCATAATTGTGTATTATTCACCCTTATATATTGTACAGTTTATCAGTTTTGTCTAATAAGTTAATTATTTTTATTAACTAGCACAATAATAATTTATTAAAAATATTTTTAAATATAAAATATTACAATTCTGAGCTCATTGTTAAAATACAGTAAATCTGTTAATATCTAATCAGGTACATATAAAAATGAAAATATGATTAAGTGGAAAGTTTTAAAAAATATATACCGAGCATAATCTAATTTATAAAATATATTTTATAAATTAAAACGTTTTTAATTCGTATCTATAAGCAAGGTCAACGCGATACAAAATTACAACACTTATCTAAGTACTGCAATAGCTATTACAAAAATAATTAGGTATACGGTATAAATAAAAATTTTAAAATACTATTTTTAAAATTTATCTAAGTACTTATGTCATTAATAGACTGACAATATAAAAATGAACAATAGACTAATATTTATTTTAATAACTATACTGAATATTAATCATGTAATTAATAGTAACCCTGATGAAATACTTAGTTTACCTCGCTTAGATGAGCCGATAAAGTTCCGACAGTATTCAGACTATTTGGACTCAACCACTGGGCGACACCAATTTTATTGGTATCACGAAAGTGAACTAGATCCTGAAAACGCACCGGTAGTCCTATGGCTAAATGGTGGCCCTATTTTGTACATTTAATTAATTAGCTAAAATAGTTTGTATCTAAAAATTATCAGTGAAGTGTACTTGATAAGTATAAACGTTACTATGAATCATCAAGGGCATATAATTGAGATAAATATAAAATACTTTTATACAGTATAAAAAGTATAAATATGTGGACATTAATTTTAATAATTACATTAATACTAAATTTAATCAAATAAAACTGATTTCATATTAAACAATGAATACACTATTGTTAAGTTATATTCTACCTATCATAATTTATATTAATTGTGTATATACCGCTAACCCAGATGAAATACAAAACTTACCTGGCCTACCTGAGCCGGTAAAATTTCGGCAGTACTCCGGCTATTTAAATGCAACCAAAGGTCGGCATCATTTTTATTGGTATTTCGAAAGTGAACTGGATCCTCAAAACGCACCGGTAGTCCTGTGGCTAACTGGTGGTCCTATGTGTAGCTCCCTATTAGGAATGTTCACTGAGCATGGACCATATACGGTGGACAGTAAAGGCATACAATTGACCATGAACAAATACTCGTGGAATAAAGTGGTCAATATTATATACATGGAATCGCCTGCCGGTACGGGATTTAGTTACGATGAGAATGATCCTGAGCCACTAAATGATAATAATGCTACAGCCGTTGCTAACTATTTTGCCCTGGAGAGTTTTTTCGACAAATACCCACACCTTAAGAAAAATGCATTTTATATAACGGGTGAGAGTTATGGTGGCGTTTATGTCCCGATGTTAGCCAATGAGATATTTACACGAAAATCAAGCATAAATCTGCAAGGTACTTTATTTTAATGTTTATTATATTTATTGTCATATTAATGTTTGGTATACATTTTTGTAATAGGCATGGCTATTGGGAATGGACTATTTGATTGGACATTATCTTATGATTCAAATGTACCAACCCTGTCGGAATATGATTTTGCCCTCGGTCATGGGTTAATAAGTCCGAATTTTTATCAACGAAAAATTAATAGCTGCTGTAGTATTGACCAGGATAACAAGTGGAAGTGTGACTTTCTTAACCCGGTTAATAAAACGTAAATTAAGTTTATTTAATTATTACTTTTTAAAATGACTTGCTAATTAATTATACAAACATGTAAACTTTCTAATATTTATTCTGGGTACAATAATAACATGACAAATTAATTTATTATGTTTAAATTCATAGGAAATGTGACTCGGTCAAAAAGGAACCAGTATCTATAATAAACCTATATAATATATACTCCGACTGCCACCTGGATATGGAGCCGGTTAATGGGTCTCAATATGATCCATTTTATAACCCAAATTCCGCTAATCACAAATTATTGAAGCAAGCACAAAATACTAACCAACCCGATTACTGTCCCCACTCGGGCCACAAGGAGTACCTGAACCGGGCGGACGTACGTCAGGCACTGCACGTACGCAATGATGCGCCCAAACAATGGTCGGCCTATAAGGGCGATAAGGGTTATACACGAGACTTACGGAATGGGAGCCAGACTTTCGTAGACTTAATAGAAAAGTACAGAATCGGGAGAATACTTGTATATAACGGTGACTTTGATAGTGTTTGCGATTTCATAACCGACGCCCGGTTTGTGGAGGGACTGGGATATAAACCCGTGGTGGAGTACAGGTATGTTGTATATCAATGTTAACGGTGTAGTTACTAAACTGTAGTTTGTCACTAGAAAGTTTGTCTATTTTATATATTAACTACACAAATTAGTATAACTAACTGGATAAATGTTTAATAAAGTTTGTAGGCTACTATTAATTAATATCGCTACGTTGGATTATGTGTAATAATTATAAGTTATTTATGTTTAATACGATAGACCCTGGACAGTTGATGGCAAACCGGATGGTGTGGAGGGAGGTTTTGTGCAGCATTATGAGCGAGGTCTAAGTTTTTTGACGGTCAGGGGCGCCGGACATGCCGTTCCCACCGATAAACCTGAGGCCGCCCTACAGATACTGAAAGCATTGCTCGGGTATACAAAACTGTAATAATTTAAATAAATATACAAATATAATTATGTTTCAAAAGTTTTACATTAAGTGATAATTTTTTTTATAAAATTTTAATAAAAATTAATCTAAAACAATTAATGAAAACAATATTTTTAAAAATAAATTATCATCATAAAATATTATAATTATGCACTGTTCACCTCTATGTATTGTACAGTTGATCAGTTTTTGTCTAGTGTGTTAATTAATTTTATTAAATAGTACCATGATATTTTATTTAAAATATTTTTTAATAAAAAATATTATAAAATAATTCTGAGCTCAATGTTCAAATACATTAAATCTGTTAATATCTAATCAGGTACTTATAAAAACTACAATATAATAAAGTGGAAAGTTTTAAAAAATACATACATGAGCATAATCTACTTTATAAAATACATTTTATAAACTAAAACGTTTTTAATTCGTATCTATAAGCAAGGTCAGCGTGATACAAAATTGCAGCACATATCAAAGTGCTGCAATAGAAATTACAAAATGATACTGGGTATATAAATAAAAATTTTAATATACTATTTTTAAAATTTATCTACGTAAACTGAATGTAATAAATATACTGATAATAAAAAATGAGCAATAGACTAATATTTACTTTACTAATTATACTGAATATTAATCATGTAATTAATAGTAACCCTGATGAAATACTTAGTTTACCTGGCTTAGGTGAGCCGGTAAAGTTCCGACAGTATTCAGGCTATTTGGACTCAACCACTGGGCGACACCAATTTTATTGGTACCTTGAAAGTGAACTGGATCCTGAAAACGCACCGGTAGTCCTATGGCTAAATGGTGGCCCAATGTGTAGTTCCCTTTTAGGGTTGTTCACAGAGAATGGACCCTTTAAAGCGGACAGTAATGGTACAAAACTGACCATGAACCAATACTCATGGAATAAGGTGGCAAATGTGCTATACATGGAAACTCCAGCGGGTGTTGGGTTTAGTTATGATGAGCACCTTGGTCCCCTCATAAATGATAATACATTTACAGCGGTTGCCACCTATTTTGCCCTGGAAAGTTTTTTCAATAAATTTCCCAAACTTAGAAAAAATCCATTTTATATAACCGGTGAAAGTTATGGTGGCGTTTATGTGCCCATGCTGGCCTATGAGATATATGTTCAAAAATCGACTATAAATCTACAAGGTAAGTTGAGTAAAAATTATAACCATACAATTTTTATAATTAATAAATAAATTAATTATAGGTATTGCTATTGGCAACGGCAAATATGATTGGACTACAGCTGACGTTTCACAAGTACCCACATTATCGCAATATGACTTTGCCCTTGGTCATGGCTTAATAAGTCCACATTATTATCAAAGTAAACTAGAAAGCTGTTGTGGCGATGACCTGGCTATTAGGTTCAAATGCGACTTTATGAACCCGATTAATAAAACGTAGGTTTTAACAAATATAATTTGTTTTATTAGTTAAATTACAATGTATATAGTCAAAATAATTTATTTTATATCACGTTATTAAAAATATATTATGTTATAGAAAATGTGACTCGGTTAAAAAGGAACCTGTTGCTATAATCAACTTATACAACATATACGACAATTGCCCACTGGATAGAGACCCAGTGAATAATTCACAATCATATGTTGTGCATAACACATACAACCCTAATAATAAATTATTTAAGCAAGCAGAATATAGGGAAAGACCCTCGTATTGTCCCCACTCGGGTCACAAAGAGTATATGAATCGTGTGGACGTACGTAAAGCACTGCACGTACTTAATGACGCCCCCGTGTGGTCGGAATACATGGGACACCAGGGATATAACATTGAGCTCCGGAATGGGAGCCAGACTTTCGTAGACTTAATAGAAAAGCACAGAATCGCGAAAATACTCGTATATAACGGAGACTTCGATAGTGTTTGCGATTTCATAACCGATGGCCGGTTTGTCGAGAGACTAGGATATGAACCCACGGATGAGTACAGGTATGTTGTAATGTTTTAAAATGTTTATGTATAAATATTATATACAGCATATGTCGGCTTCTATCTTTACCCGGGATAACTTGAATAGCATCTGAACGGATAATCCAATCCTTAATCGGTTTTCACCAAAATGTAGCTGGATAATGTCGAAATCTATGGATATGCCATTTGTTGTATAAATCTACCAGGATAACTGGGTTATTTAATTTCAAAGTTAAACGAGATTTTGCCATTGAAAATACATGGGGTTTTCAGTGAATTTTTCAGAGATTCCTCTAATCTCGGTTAATATTAAAACCTCAGTATCTTGGTCATTATTAGTGCTATTATAGATATTCCAACAGCATTTTGTTTCAAAATAAAGTGCGATTTTTATGACATTTTGACTTTAAAAATTTTAACAAAAATATGATTCTAACTTTTTAACCATGAGTCAGAGAATAAATCTGAAAAGTGCATTAGAAAGAGCACAAAAAACTAGTCAAGATCAGTTATTAACATTCACTTGTATTTAACTATTTACTATTTATATTAAGGTAATAATACAAAATAAAATTCAAAACA